GAACAAAACTCTCTCTCTCTCTCTCTCTCTCTCTCTCTCTCTCTCTCTCTCGTTAGCTCTTTGTCTCATTGATTTGGCTACATTAGAGCTGCGTTCCCCGCGCCACGCGGTAGACAATAAATAAATACAAGATTTTTGTTTTTTTTTGTTTTTGTTTTAAAGGCTAACCACTTCAATTACCTGCTGCCAAATCTGGACAGGACGGCCTTTCAGGCCTTTTTTATTGTTGTTGTAGTATTTACTGGTGGGTCGAGCTCCCGGGGCATGGTCCCACTACCAAGGGGATAGGATAGAAAAGAGTTTGTGTGGCAGTTGAGTGACCCAAATCCTGCAGTGCAGTACTCGTGATCCCACGGTCAGTATTTTACATGTATTACCCGAAAACGTAAAGAGATCCTTGTTCCCCGCCTCCTCTCCGCCACTCCCCCAGACGCAAAAAACCTCGTCCTACCGGTAGCGCCGTTTCACGAGGGGTATAGGTAGCATAGAGTGGAAAACCATGTGAATGGCAAAAATGGAATTTGCGTCAAATGTGCCGAATCGGCGCGGCTATTATTTCACGGTCAAAATCATTTTCTTTATTTTTTCTGATATTTTTCCTGGAAAGATCACCACCTAATCTATGGACCCTCAAATTTTCAGAACTTTTAAAGAATTCTTCTGAGCACAAAACATCGCCAAATGGCGGGATTGACCCGCCAGTGACGAACGGTCGCCGCACCTCTGTAGAACCCGGCCCTAACTCACAGGGCCGAGGGTTTCCGGCTGTCTGGGCACGCGGGTGCAAAGGAAGCTTCCCGCCAAAATATTTTCAATCCGTTGGGGTTATGGCCAACCCCAAAAGAGAGTCCGGTCAACCGTAGGGCCACTGGATAGGAGATTTTCAGTATTTTGCTCGCTGTTGTGCAATTATCTCATTGGGTGGAGCCCTCCTTCAATCACCGAGTATATGGAGGGCATCATGATCACTGCTGACAGAAGTCCAGTTTATTCCAGAAAACGTGGCAGTTTGTTTGTTCACTGTTGTTGCAACCACCACCATCAGATCATTTGATCTGATGGCTGGGAAGCACTCTGCCGTGATTTCCGGTGGGAGGTCTCTGTTTTTTTTTTTTTTTTTGCCTTTCTTCTGTTTTGTCAGCCCAGAAATTCGTAATGAACCTGTCAGCCCGCTGCCACTCAGTGTCACACTGGATCTCGGCCACACTCCGATCCGACTGCTAATGGGACCTCGCCCCTGCTAATGGGACCATGCCCCCCCCATGTTCCCCCGTTAGCGGCTTGAGCTCGGAATCACTGCTACGGGTTCCCCGTAATACTATAAAAACGAAATTGGAACGATACAGAGAAGATTAGGCTGACACCCATAAGTCGAGCATAATCCAGCGGCCTAGCTCAGTTGGTTAGGCATGCAAACCACCTGCAGAACACTTGGCGTCAACCAGCGTAGTAGTCGGCCTGATACCTCTCATCGGTATTAGTAGGGTCCCCCAACGGGTGTGAGTGCGCGTGTGAGTGGTATTAGTAGGGTCCCCCAACGGGTGTGAGTGCGAGTGTGAGTGGGTTGCGCGTGCTGTGTGGAGAAAATGTAAAAGAAAAATCAAAATCGAACACGTCGTCGCAGTCACGTCTCGGACCATATCTGGCCTAGCAGGGGCTCCTCTAAATGCTATACGCCCTTAGTCATAATGCCCAAGTGTTCTCATCTTCGGATATGTCAAATCAAATGTCATTGGTGTCGACAACTCCTTGATTGGTTACCGAAAGAAAGAGACCAAGGGCCTGAATCTGAATGGGTTTTGAGTAGAGATGCAGAAAAGCAGATCAATCGCGATCTTCTACACCTCTCCAAAAAAACGTCCAGACTCGAACGCGTTCTCTTGTATACACCTCGTGGCCATCCCCAAGCGCTCAACACAGAGAGAGAGAGAGCGAGAGAGAGAGAGAGAGAGAGAGAGAGAGAGAGAGAGAGAGAGAGAGAGAGAGAGAGAGAGAGAGATGTCCTAACTTGTTGGATAAGTTCTTCAGCTGTGTCTTGGGAGGGACATGTCTGCATATTGGGGCAAAAAGAAAGAAAGAAAGAAAAAGAAAAGAGAGAGAGAGAGAGAGAGAGAGAGAGAGAGAGAGAGAGAGAGAGAGAGAGAGAGAGAGAGAGGCGGCTTCGTTTTCAAATCTGGCGTGGAAGGACGTCCAGATTCAAAGACGACGCATGAGCACGCGGTCCGCTAGCGTGCGGCCACGACGCGCGCGAGCGCGTGTGTGTGTGGAAGAGAGTGTGTGTGTGTGTGTGTGTGTGTGAGAGAGAGAGAGAGAGAGAGAGAGAGAGAGAGAGAGAGAGAGCGTAACTACAGGCAGATTTGGTCAAAAAAGTCCTAGTGGGAGAGTATGGCGTGACTCGACCTCTCGGACTTGCGCTACCGACTGATGAATTGTTTGCAAGCACACTTTCCCGAAGGGAGAAATCTTAGCGAGAGAGCAGCTGGAAACAATACTAGCGTTAGGACTTTTCCGACTGAATATCGCCTTCACTGCGTTCAGATACATC